GGGGGGCTGAGAGAGGAGGGGGGAGAGAGAGGAGGGGGGAGAGAGGAGGGGCAGCAGGGCAGGAAGGATGTTAATTAGGGATGCATAGTTAGGAAATTTAAGGTATTATTACAAACAAGAAGGAAATTTTTACTGTTCTCACTCAGAAACAATAATTTATGAAATAAGTGTTTTAAAATGTCATAACATTTATTAAGTTAAAACTCTGGATGAATCTGGGCAAAGTGAACATGGAGGAGCTTCAGCTGAGAGAAAGAGGAAGATGATGGAGAAGATTCATGGATGTGATGAAGAAGAAAATGAAGAAGGCTGGTGATGTAGAAGAGAGACAGGCGCCCCCTACTGGTTGTAACTGAACGAAAATGATGATTTTTAATGTTTAATAATAATAATAAATCTTCTCTTATGCTAAGGATCAGTGTGGTTCTACAGAGTCTGGAGAATCCTCCCATAATGTTTTCCTGAGGCCTCCAGACCAGTTGGATACTGGGACCTCAAGGGTCAACCAGAACCTTCTGGACCCGCCTCCATCCTGTTGGTGTTCTGCTGTGTCCTGATTTGGCAGAAAAAATAAATATTTCTAATTTATAGCAAACTTGTAATCTCATTCTGCCTTTCCAATAAACTCAACAGTTGTTTATTTTCATCAACTGACAATAAATGTTCATGATGTGATGATTGTTGTTGGGACTGTTGAATTATTTGGTCTGTTGGAAATTCAGTGCTAATGTGTTAACGGGCCAGAGGAACCAGTCCATCAGATCCAACTGGTTTTAATGAACTTCCACCTGAATGTTTGTTATCCAGCCTTGATCACATGTGGAGCATCATCCAGCATCAAGCACTGAGATGATGGCCTGGATTAAAATAAAGGGAGAAAATGAGTTTATGCTCACAGTAGTTGATCTTTTAGACTGGATTCAACAGATCTGAAGGAAAAATATTCTGTTTCTGGTCAGTAAATAATCCACACTGGTCTACAAATTGGTGATTGGAATCATTTCTGGTAAAGACCAAAACTCCTCGGTGTGTTTTGTTGTAATTTAAGGTTCATTTGTTGAGTCAGAATCCATCATTTTCTTCATGTCTGAAGCTGCAGACTGAGTCTGTCTGCCATGGGACCTGATGAGGTGGAACTACTGAGATGAGGAACCAGTCAGCAGCTGATGGTAACACCACAAACACAGCAGGAGAGAAGAGAACGAACCACAGCAACCATGACTGGGACATCAGTTCTGTCTGAGAAGAATAGCAAAACTATATCAGCTTTTATCAAACCAAAGATAAACTAAAGCTTTTAACCCCACAGCCTGCAGCAGAATATCCATGTGTTGTTTTCCATTGTATTTTCAGGGGTTGAGGAAAATATATTGAGAAAAATATTGAAGGAAAGATTCATAGAGAGCTCATTCAAGATAAGCTCTAAGCTAAAGATCAAACACACAAAGCTAAAAATCTGAAATGAATATTAGCTGCTTTTTATTTTTTCTATTAATACATAAAACA